TAGCAGTAGCAGTGGTAGTAATGGTACTGGTACGAATATAGATACTAATACTACAGTAGTACTAGTACTACTAGTACTAGTGGTCGTGGTGGTGGTGGTGGTAGTGGTAGTGGTAGTGGTCGTAGTGGTAGTGGTAGTAGCTGTAGTGGTCGCAGTGGCAATCTACTGCCGCTCTTGTGTAACTTAGCAATGGGTGGGGACTCTTCGGCACTGGCTTCTGTAGCCGGCATGCTCCAATCTGACCTCTAAAATCAGACCGTCCGTCCTAAGCCCTAGACCTAGCTCGGCCGACCCAGGAAAGGCACTTGTGGCGGTGCAGGTTGCGGAAACTCTAGCAATAATCGCACAATCAGAATCGAACGACCGGTCTTGTGATTTGGGGTTGTAGGTGATGCTTTTGTCATACATTAGCTTGGTGCCGGGTTGACATGTTCCAGGTGCACGGGCTCGCAAGTCGGTGTGATACTGAGTAATATGGGGTTTAGGGTTTAGGGCCTTACGTTATACCAAGAACCCCAACACTGGTATTGGCAATTATTTAGGCCCCTATATCTGTCTATGAGCCTCCCGTTTTACATAGCTGGTCATAAGAATTGAAAGAACCCTTCGGGGAACCTGCGCAAGGAACCAGACATCGAGATCGTCATATTCTAGGGACATCCGTAAGTATGATAAACTATGACTATAATGAGGAACCTTGAACAAAAATACTGGAAATTCCCCATGCAGTATTCGGAGTTGTATCGGCAACCGCGTTGGATGGCTCTGCGGATGCAGCCGCACAACTATAGGTTTCTGCAGCAGCCGTTTTGCCTGGGTCTCCCATCGAAGCGCCACCGAGCACTTGCAAGAAAGCTGAGCTGCCATCCTAAGTTGTGTTGCACCTTAATTACAAATCCTAAACCCAAAACCGCCACAGTTTTCCCTGAGATCCATGGCGGTTCAACAGATGCAAGTGTGAGGACAGCATTCACTCATATAGCTTCCGAATGCACCGACAGTCAAATGTCATCTCACGCCTTCAAACGTAGCGGCCTTAATTGCTGGAATAGGGTTTTGGGCTCCTTCATGGTATAACTATGATCAGGAACCCTAAGGAATAATATCGGAAATTGTTGAGGCTTCTAGGCTATATCCTAAACCATCTGGTCGCCCATAAACATAACAGCTCTTGCAAAGCTTCTGCAGCTGAGTTGAGCTACTGCTCAGACCGTGCTGCATCCATCTCCTTGCCCATCATTTCGACCACGTTTCGACCTCGCTCATTGCAGTTTCCGACTTCTAATGCTTCTTGAAGGATTATCTCGGTTTGGACTCCCAGGTCTAAAGTTTGAGGCTTTAGGGCATCCGGGGAAACCACGACCTCTTGGCTAAAAGTTGTGCTCCCCTGCGTGGTCTTAGAGTCTAGAGTGCGGTCACTCAGATCTAGAGCAGCTGCAGGTTTAGGGGTTAGGGGTTTAGGGGTTTAGGGGTTTAGGGTTTAGGGGTTTGGGGGTTTAGGGTTTAGGGGTTTCGGGTTTAGGGGTTTAGGGTTTAGCGATCCGAGAGCGAGCCGCCATTTCGTCTCCCAGAGTGGGAAATCTCACGCGGTTCCGTTTTGTCAAGAGCCACGGCCACGGAAACCTTGCCGGTGTCGCTGTCAACTACCCCAAAGGGTCCAAGTTATAGTATAGTTTTGGCCCAAATACCTACAAAGTAGCTACCATATTGCTACTTGGACCCTTTGGGTACCGCGGCAAGGTAACATTGCCAGGTGCCAGCGCGACGACTCTGACTCTGTACGGAGCGCTGCCAGTCCATCGGCACCAACAACTGCTGCCCAAAGACTCCAATATCCCTTAACTAAGGAATAAGCCTTAAATCATATTAAGGATCCTACTATAATTTAAGGAATATTCCTTAATTAAGGGATATTGGAGTCTCTGGGCATGGGGCTGGAGACCAGAGCCGGGGTGCCGCCACCAGAATGCAGCAGGTGCTCCCAGCTCCGTGGTAGGAGCCTGCCATGTCCTCCAGGACAGGGTTGAGTGCTTGACCCACCATTTAAAGGTTTCGGGTGTAGGGTTTTAAGTTTTAGGGTTTAGGGCTTACGGTCTAGAGTTTAGGGCTATACGGTCGGGTTTACGCTCTCGCAACTCGGACAAGGTGGACGAGATTCATGAGTTCGCAATTGGACTAAAGTTGGACAGGTTCAGGCCGCTTATAGTATGAGGTAGAGCGACAGCTGACCTGGGCAGATGTATCAACCATGGGGTCACAGGCTCAAGTGCCTCCTGTGTGCCAGGCATGCTCAAAGCATCTTAAAGCAGTCACCATGCTGCTATGGTAGTGGGTGTAACTGACATTCTCACGTTGCACAATGTCGGCTGCAATATTGGCTGTGAGCGCCACTCGGAAGTTGGGTGCCATGGTTCACCTGCAGCTTGCTCAAGCGGTTTAGGGAACAGAGTCTTTACTGTCATTTGCAGTATCACAGTCATTTGGCCGAAGCATTCCCGATTGCAGAAACTGATGCCGCACTTAAACAACACGACTGTACCCCGAACCCTAAATCTTGCTCTTCCAACCCAAAGTTGCGAAGATTTCGATGTAGCTTAGGCTTCGACCTCCACAACAATACATGCTCTAATAATCTAGTCGTCAAACTCTGAACCCTGAATCCCCTGAACCGTAAACCAGAACGTTGCACCCGGACCCCTGTTAAATGCCGACTTCTTCCCGTGGGATGTCCCTTGATGGGGCTCGGGCTGTCGGCGAACTTGGCATTCAGCAGGACCTTGCGAATGGCGGATTTAGGGTTTAGGGCTTTCGTGTGTTAGGGTTTAGGGTTTAGGGTTTAGGGTTTATGAACAGAAGCAAAACGAGTTCAGACCTACTGCTTAGGGTTTTCAGGAGCGGGTGTTGTTCAGTGCAGGGATCCTGGAGAACAGTCATCCTTGAGATACTGGGCTTTGAGTAAGCCTTAGGGTGTGAAGTGTACGTTTAGTGCATTTGCAGCGGTGCATCGTATCTTTTCAAGCAAAGGGCGCCGACACTTTAACATCGGAGCCTGTTGTGTTAGTAATGATATTCCCCGATTTTCCCATATATCTGTGGTAGAATATCCCTCAAATGCTGGTTTCATTCACTATTAAGTATTGAGGTTCCACTGCCCACTGCTGCTTCTGTTCCAAGCAACATCCTCACCCTAAGCCGTGACTTTCCTAACCCGAATCTCCACGCCCCATTGCTGCTTCTAGCCAAGCACTTACTGCCCTCACCCTAAGCCGTGACTCTCCTGGCCCGAAAAGAAGCGCAAAGCCTGCGTGCTTTCCAAGCCACCGCTGCGATGTGGCCATCCGGACCAACCTCCACACGCATCGGTTCGGTGAGGCTGCCTGGTGAGACAGACATGCACTGGGTGTTACAGTTTGACGTTCTTCAGGAGTGATTTGAAAATAGTAGGGCCCTCTGAGTGAATTTGCGCAAAAAGTCTAGCTGGGATTATTGTAGTGGGGTTTCCTGTAGGTTCTCATAGGGCGCAGGCGTCGGGTTACCACAAAGCAAAACAACATGTGGTTAACTCCGTAAGGACCCAAACAGGGGCCACAGTATGACCACTCTATAGAACCCTAGAGCGGGTGTTGGGTTTACCCGAGGTTTTGATTGGACACCCGCATACGGGGCTCAGAAGAAAATGGAATTGGAATCGTGATTCCTTAACACACTCCCTACTAAGGGCATCCTCATCCCAAGTCCAGGCAACCACCGACATTTTACAGCCGTGTTGGCTTCCACCCAAATCCCTAAACCACCGCCTTGTTGCAGCCCTGAAATCGGATTAAGGACAAATAGTGCTGTTACTGTTCAGGTTTGAGGCCATTGGGTTTCTCGCTAAACCCATTCTTGGGAGGTGCCAGGTTTTGTCGGGTGCTCTCTTGTTCGGCTTGCCTGGACATCACTATTTAGGTTGCCTGACTTGGGTGTTTCTACTGCCAAAGGGCGTTCAGGGTTTAAGGATTTGGGTTTAGGCTTAACCTGGGACTTGGGGTTTGGGGTTGATAGTTTCTGGGTTAGGGGTGTCGTAGTTGTTCTCTGACGGCCTTCGTTAGTTGAAACTTTGCTGCGCAAAGTATGGTGTTTTTGCATAAATGACAAAACACCCTCCTACTGTCTTTCTCAATTCGTAGCAGCTTTTTCTGTCTTATTGCGCTTCGGTCGACTGAACCCCTTCGCCGCCAAACCGAACGGGTTGAACCAAAGAACCTCCTGCGACAATGAACTGCCGGGTTTAGGGTAGAGCTTCAGGTGTGCACGCCTAGGTTAGTGGATTCTGAAGCCTCTACTCTAGCGGCCTTCGAATCCGGAAACCGTAATCTCGAAACCCTAAAACCCTTATAAACCCTAAACCCAGAAACCCTAAACCCGTATAACCCCTGAACCCAGAAATCCAAAAGTCCCCCAAGTTCGTGAGCAGGGCACCACACCGCCGAGTGCGGCAGTGCACTGTGTAGGTGTACGTCCCAATGCCTGGGGAGTCAATGCCTCGGCTGGGGGGTTTTGTAGTTGATTTAGGGTTTAGGGTTTAG